GCTTCTCGTCAGCTGTTCATCAGTCCTGGGAGCACCTGGTGCTTAGCACAGCTATCCTTTTTAAAACGAAGGCTCCCAGTGAACATTTCTGCTCCAAGCCTTAGGAATTTAGGATGACAGATAGATAGTTTGAAGCGAAGTGTCACCAGCAGTCGTGTGGACCACTGCTGCGGGACCCCACGGGGGCTTCTGGATCAGCTCTGGTCAAAATGAGTATGGGTCTCCCCGGTGGACCAGGAGGACGTCTCCTGTCCCTGATGAGATCAAAGAGGAATTCTGTTATTGTCTTAAGGAGAGCAAATAAAAATCTTAAGGACATTTTTACTAATTAAAATTACCACTACCTGAATTGAAGGTGTATAGCTTGGGAGATCGTGCTTAGGGCGTTGTGCCTGTGGCACGTATGTATTGTATCCGGTGTTCAAATGAGGAAACTGAGGCTCAGGGAGGGAAAGTTACTCCCCATGTCCTGTTTTTAATGCGATGAACTGCCTCCCCGTGTTTGCCTCAGAGGCGTTTTTTATTTATTTTGAGGAAAGAACGTTAGAGTGATTTGTCGAATTTTGCTTTTAAAAGGCGTGTCTGTCATACTTGTCGTAGGTGGAAACGGAGACCAACGTCCTGCAGGATGGCTCCCTCATCGACCTGTGCGGGGCCACTCTTCTCTGGAGAACAGCAGATGGCCTTTTCCACGCTCCAACGCAGAAACACATAGAAGCCCTGCGGCAGGAGATCAACGCCGCTCGGCCACAGTGCCCTGTGGGGCTCAACACCCTGGCCTTCCCCAGCATCAACAGGAAGGAAGTGGTGGAGGAGAAGCAGCCCTGGGCATACCTCAGCTGTGGCCACGTGCACGGGTACCACAACTGGGGCCACCGGAGTGACACGGAGGCCAATGAGAGGGAGTGCCCCATGTGCAGGGCAGTGGGCCCCTACGTACCTCTGTGGCTCGGCTGTGAGGCAGGATTTTATGTCGACGCAGGACCGCCAACGCACGCTTTCACCCCTTGTGGACACGTGTGCTCAGAGAAGTCTGCAAAATACTGGTCTCAGATCCCTTTGCCTCACGGAACTCACGCATTTCATGCTGCCTGCCCTTTCTGTGCCACGCAGCTGGTTGGGGAACAGAACTGCATCAAATTAATTTTCCAGGGTCCAGTTGACTGATGCCCTTGACAGCCATCTACGATTTTATTAACAAGTTACTGTGAAGATTTTTGCCACTAACTCTAGATTTTACCTTTTTATAATGCTGTTTATTAAGGGGAGGGGGGCCCGAGGCTGGGAGGAAAGAGGGGACATAGCGATGAAACATACCAGGAATTTAACAGATATCAGTGGTGTGTTGCATGCTCAAAACAGCGGCATCGTCATTGAAGTCTGCTTGATCAAACCACACTATCTTTGTAATAATTGGATTTAAAATGCCATGCTTTTACTTTAACCTCTGGTTTTTAAACAAGTTTTTTCCTTTGTGGTCTTGGACAAAACTTTAAATAATATTTTACAAATGAAGAAATTTGTTCAAAAGTGGTTGGCTTTTAATGTGCAGCCTTCTGAGCTGTGGGGTGTAGGTATTACCTGAAAGACATTGCAATGTCTGGAAATACTTGACAGGCTAGGTAGAATCTGCAGATACCAAAGGGGGCGGCTCTGTAAAATGATATTGGTGGACAGGAGACCGTAGGCACAGGTGGTTGTCTTGAAATCTGGGGCTTTTTCCTGATTATTTTTCTTACCTTTCGGGTGAGAGAATATCCGTATCTTGTCATATTTTCTTTTAATTAACATTGGTGGAATTTTATTATTTTATACACACATTCTCCAAATACCTTGGCATTTCAAACAAAGAATTTTCCATGACTTTTTAAGTCTGCTTTTTGTTATTTCTGTCTACTGTGGTTTGTCCCTGATACTCATCTTGTATGGCCAGAACTGTTTGGGTGATTAAAATGTAGCAACTCTTAAAATTCATTAACTAGGAATGATGATTGCAGCAGTAAACATGGCCTAGGTACTATAAGATCAAGTTTATTTGCTTACCGAATTGTTTTAAGATTTAAGAGCAATTAAAAATGAGATTTTATGTGTTAAAACCACTTGTTGGGATTTCATACCTTTTTTTTTTTATTTCTTCTTAAAAAAAAGCCAAAATTCTGTGAGCCTAACAGCAACATATCACAATGATATGGGGCATTTTTATTCATCCCCTTTCCACCATCTGTCACCTTCTCTCGCAGCTTACAGAGCCCTGTAAGTTTTGAAATTGTTTGCAAATCAAACTAAATTTAAATGCGATCATTAGATATATACAACACCAAGTGGTACATCTGCAGAGATAATTTGAAATTCCTGATTTCAAGAGAACAAATGAGTGTTCACTGAGGAATAATTAAATCAGAATTTCATGTGAGCGTCACCATCCCTCTCTGTTAGTTTCATTTCATTTGGAATAATAATTCTTGGATGCTCATTCTGTGTGGTACCAGTAGTATTACTACTCCCAAAATGTAAAATCCTTTAGGACATGAGAATGCCAGAGCTGGCTGAGATGAAATAGACCCCTACCACTTGGAGCAGGTATTTATTTAAACTAACATCCTCTGAAATTGACCATTGCACATTTGTGCTACATTTTTTACCTTTGTAAAGATATATAATTTATATGCTAATATTCTATATCTGTACTTGAATTGGTTTTTCCATGTTTTACCTACTGGCAAATATTTTGCCTATTTTCAATTGTTCTAACCCATTTCAAATGTCCTTTTCCTTAAAGTGATAAAATATATTACTCTTGATTGCTGCTGCTTAATTTGACTTAATATATAAAAAGTTCAGCCTCTCAGTTTTAAAATAGCTTTACTTTTCAGTGGAGATTATTGTTTATGATGAGGCGTTTTTGTTTTGGTAATCTTTAAGTGATGTGAAAATTTAACAACAGGCCTCTTATCGATAGCTACTCTATTCTGTACAGCTTACTTTACCTGCAAATAGAAAAAGAAAGAAAACAATGAAATTGCATACGAATAATATGTCAAATACCTTCTGATTTAGCCAGACAGAGTCTCCAATGATTAGCTTTCACTGGTGTCTTTTCAATCTGCGATTCTCCACAGTGATAAAGGAGGCACAAGGTCCATTTTCTTGCTACAGAGCTAGAAAGTGGTTTGAGGAGTCTTGTTATATTCTAAAAGCATCTTGTAAGGTAAATGGTCTTGCATCCAGAAATGCTAGGTTTTACCTTTCAAAAAAGTTTTTTTCCAGAAAGTTATGCTCTGATAAAATTGGCCATTTCAAGAATTATATATATATATGTATATATATATAAGTCTAGTAGTTCTGCATGCAACAGATTGCCCCAAAATAAAATTATCTTCCAACCTGAAAAGTTTGACTGTTAGTAAACTTGGATAACTACATGTAAGTTGAAATTTGGGTAATAGATTCCAAACTCTTGGAAGGGGTAACAGTGAACCATCCTGTCCTTTGACTTCTGAGTGAGGTCCTCTCCCACCCTGCCCCAGAGAGGGGGCAAGTCTGCAGAAAGAAAACCGTGCTCATCTTGACCACTTCTACTAAGATCACCTTATAATGAGATTTCTTTTTCAGAGTTGAAAGCAAGTTAGTTTGTTAGGAATAAAAAACTCTAGCTCACCAAAGTAGAGTAATACAGTTCAGAAAAAGTAACTTCTCAAAGGTCACTTCTGTTTTCATCTTGCTTGCCTTCACATTAAAGGGTGAGTCTCACTCCCCCATGTGAAGAAATTGCTAACCAGTTATCTTGATCTGGGTCTGACAGAAATGCCTTTTGTGAATAGGTTTCCGGGTCAGCCCCAGTTATTCCCATAGACATTTTTTTTAGTTGTTTATGTCTGCTTACTACGAAAAAACTAATGATTCAGAACGAATGGGATACAACTCAATATTTTTCTAGTCCGGAGTTTTTTATTATTAATAATAGGTGCTGCTGGGTCATGCATGCTTCAACTTTTAACATTCCCTTATTTGGTTCTGCTTTTTGCAAAGAGGGCTACAGTTCACACTGCAGAGTAAACATTAAGCTTTCTGGGTGCACTCCCCCACCCCCACTGTGGCCCAAAAGAATTAAAATCTTTTAATATAAATAGAGAGCATATTTATCATTCCTCGATAGTTAATTATAGAGTTTGGTACCTTTGTGCCTCAGGGAAGCCACGTGATATTAACTGGTTATAGAATTTCAGGGTTAGGGTTTAGGGAAAGGAGAAAGCCATTGGAAAAATGATGGGCTCCATTAAGGAGACTAATGAATCTGGATGCAGAAATATGCCAGGAACTGGCATACAAATGATTGTAGAATTTATTTCCAGTATCAATAGGGAAATTAAGTTATTACATACATATACTGTGTTAAGAAAATTGAGAACTCTTAAAGCTTCAGTGCTTTATTTTTGCTTATGTGGGAGCTCAGTATTGTTATTTGGGCAATTTTGAGAGTTTAAGGAAAACTTCCTCCTTAAGTGTAACATACAGAATTGATACCTGCCGTTCTATGATTTTGATCTTTTTTTTAAAGCCATTCTGTTCTCTGGATTTGCATGAAAGGATTATGCTCACACCATCGTTAATGCTGGCTGAAACCTAGTTATCTTCATGCGGTCCTGCCTTGTGACAGTGGAATTTGATAGACAAACCACAGAACCATGTTTTTAAGCCAGATCCAGCTCTGTTCCCTTGCCTGTCAATCTTATATCCCCACAACTTAGCCTTCCTGGGCTGAGGATATGAAGTTTCTCCTTAAGTGCTAGAAATGGAGCACAGCCCTGTGATCGTTTCTTTATGACCCAAAGGCCAATGAGAAAATTTTAGGATCTTTTTAAAAGAATGTAACCATAATTGAAGCAGCAAAACAAAAGTTTCAGTATTTCTTTTTTGTAAAACTTATATCCTCTCAAGTAAATCTTAGCCTTCATGAAGAATCCCAAGAGGAAGACAGGGAAAAGCAAATATTTTTCCAGTTCTATTTAACTGTTTCTAAACAAACAAAAATAAACTCAGTGAAAGGGAAGTTGTTTCATTTTAACCGAGATGACAGATTGCTTCTCTGTATTAAATAGTCTAGAAGTTAAGGGGTGATCATATTTACCACGTATAGTGTTATGAGCAGTTAAATTTTATGGCTATATTTGTAAAACTGTTCTTTTATATTTCATGTCAAATTGAAAAGTTTATTTCTTCACTATTGTACCTGTGGAAATACAAGCCATTTTACAGGAAAACTCTTCAAAAACTATTAAACGAATCTCAGTATGTTTATGACTGGTTGTTTTCAGACTCTGTGGCTATCATGGGTTCATTAGGACATTGAGTAGGAAGTTAATAGAAAAGTAAGCTTGGTTTTTTTTTTTTCATTTCTCAGACCTCGAGTTGATCCCAAACAATTAAACTTATTATTTTTTTTATATTCTGCATCATACATATTAAAATCCAGATACTGAAAAATCTTAATTTTTTAATAATAAAAACTTCATTGGTGCTTTATTATTATTTTTTTTGTGACATTACATCGCTGTCAAATAAATCTAACTTTCAGGAACATTTAACCTAGCTTGTAGAATTAATGGATTTTGTTCATGATCATTAGTCATATTGTGACTTTTGTGACAATCTTCATTCTCATTTAATGTAAGGATTATGTATCAGCCTTCAAGCCTTAAACAAATAGTCTTTTGTAAGAAAATATATGTATTTATGACAAATTTTCCCCATCACATTGATGTTTAAGGAGTCTTAGTATTATTGAGGAAAGATTTTTTTTTTTTACTTCCAAGAAAATGCACATTTATATAGGCTTTTATCTCAGGAGTCAAGTGTCCCATACTTTATTAAATCTAAGATGCCATGAATTGTAAAATGTGTTATTACAGATAAACATAGTTATAAGTGTAAAATACATCCCATTTGCCAAGGGTGCCAAGACTATTCATGGAGAAAGAATAGTATTTTCAACAAATAGAGTTGAGGCAGCTAGATATCCACATGTAAAACAATTAAGTTGGACCCTTACCTCATACAAAATATAAAAATTAACTCAAAATGGATCGAAGAGCTAAAACTATAGAATTTTTAGAGGAAAACTAAACCTTTGTGACCTTGGGTCAGTCAATGGTCTCTTAAATATAACTACAAGCAACAAAAGAAAAATTGGACTTGATCATAATTAAAATGTTTTCTGCATCAAAGGATACTGTCAACAAAGTAAAAAGCAGTCCACAAAATGAGAAAGGATAGTCGTAAATCATGTATCTGATAAGGGAATTGTATGCAGAATATGTGAAGAACTCTTATGACTCGTCAATAAAAAGACAACTCAGTTAAAAAATGGTCAAAAGATACAAATAGATATTTTTTAAAAGAACATATACAAATGACCAATAAGCACATAAAAAGATTCTCAACATCATTAGCTATCAGGGAAATACAAACTATGAGATACCATTCTATACCAACTATGATAGCTAAAATCGAAAGTAACAAGTGCTGACAATTGGTTGAAAAATTAGAACCCTCATACATTGTTGGTGGGATTATAAAATAGTGCAACTGCTTTAGGACAGTTTGGCAGTTACTCTAAAGGTAAAATACACTGTTACCATGTGACCCAGCATCTTCACTTCTGGGTATATTCCCAAGAGAACTGAAAACATGTTCACACAAAAACTTGTGCATGAATGTTCATAGCAGGATTATTCATAGTAACCGAAAAGTAGAAACAACCTAAAAGTCCATAAACTGATGAATCGATAAACAAAATGTTATATATCTATACAATGGAATATTATTTGGCTCAAAAAAATTGAAGAAGGGCTGATGCATACTACAACATGGATGAACTTTGAAAACACGCTCTGTGAAAGAAGCCAGACACAAAAGGGCACATATGATATGTCAGAAATAGACATCTTACAAATACCTGATTAAAGCAAATCCTGGGTCCATTTTAAGACACGCCCATAAACACAAACAACAGAGTTGAAGAATAATATGCAAAGAAAGAAAATACTCTCGAAATTGAAGTAGAAGTAAAAATATGGGAAGAGGAAAACCTTTGAAAACAATACGTTGATAAAATTTATTATTTATTTTTTTTCTCTACTTGTGTTTGGAAAAGAAGTTACTTAAATCCAGCAGATGGAACTGGAACTGTAGAATATCTCCAGAAATAAATATCCATGTGCTCTTGGGTACTTGCCAGAGTGTTAATAAAATTATGGACAGCCTTAATACTAGCAGAGGTAATCTTCAATATAATCTTTAACAATTCGTTAGTTAATTTCATCTCATCAACACTTTCAAACTTGGACTAGTCGGATTTTTTTTTTTCATTTTCTTTTATTTTCCAGAACTTTTTCAGTGACTTCTCTTGGTTTTACTGCCAAATTTTAAAACACCAAGCCCTTGGGTTAGCTGTAATATGCCCATATGTAAAATTAATCATCAAAAGAAAAGCCAAATTATAACAGCTATTTGGAGTAAGAATGAGGAGGGCAGAGGTAGTGAGAAAAAGGGTAGACCTGTAAATAATTGCAGTGCACACACTCAAGGGAGCGGCCTTTACAGTGACCATTACAGGGACAAGATGGAAAGCACAGCCAAGCAAGTACATTGCACCAAGATTCTGAAAGGCAGGGAAAACAATTTATTGGTTGAGGAAGACCTAGACAAATTTCAGGAGAAATCATTTGTGCTAAAGCAATGAACACTTTCTAGAGAGCTATTTGAGGAGGCAGATGTTTAGATAATATATTGCTGCTTTGCATTTCTATAACACCTTCCATCTAAGAGCTGCAGAATGTAACATAAACATTAACTAATAAATTAAGCCTCGTGGCACTTCTGCATGATCGATAGACATAATAGCTATTTTTATAGTGCAAGAAAGGCAGCACCCTGCTCAAAGGTGCTGAAGTCATTCACTCAAGGTCATGAAGGGGGAAAAAATGGCAAACTCTTTCAAAATTGAGCATCAGTTCTTCCCACACTCGCACAATGTACTTCTCACTAGGCAGGTCAGCAACTTCAAGAGATGTTTCCTTCTGTGGGGCACTTAGCACTGACAGAGGTTCCCCTGGTTTCCAGTATACCCTGGTTTCCAGTATACCCTGATTTCCAGTGCTTCCTTCCAGGAGATATCTCTTTAATTTAACTGGGAGATGGTTTGAAAATAATAAATCTTGAATCAAAGCCTTAACTCCTTTCTCTCAGGTTTACCCAGGAATTAATTTGTTTGCTAATGCTGCTCTCTTGCTGGTATGACAGTGGCCTTTAGCTCTAGAATTACGAGTTCATGTTGTTTAATTCAATTATGCAAAGGACTTAAAATATTACAAGACTAACAACACCAACACATCTGCATAGGCATTAATGTAATTATTTGTTTTGCTATTTTAATTTCTGAAAAGCCCGTAAAACTGTCTTCAAAAATAGAGTGTGACATCTCAACGAAAGACAGTGCCAAGTCCTTAACAGAATCTAACTGGCTTGTCAGTAAAATCTTTTTTACTCTGGTCAATCATCACTGCATATCTTCCTAAATGTTACACACCTCTCCATTATCACCAGCTTGGCTTATTAACAACCTGCTTGGCTTAGTAACAACCTGTTCCATAGTGGTACTGTCTTTTTTCTTCTTTCTCTCTGATAACCCACATAATTTCTCCAGTAGAATAATAAGGCAGAGGGAAAACAAAGCGAGGAAATAAAATATAAACCCCCCGTGCTCCTAGTCCCTTTTTTCCCCCCTCTTTAATTCGCCACCCCCTTCCACCCCTGACCTATGGATGTTGCCGTTTCCCCTTATGAACTGGATCTCTGGGGGAACCAGATCTCTGAAGGCAGGGCATCTCCTCTCACACACTCACGGGGTGCACCCGGCCCAGGGTATTGTCCGTGGCTCCACCTGGGGCGCTAATCCAGGGCCTTGCGGGTAAAGCAGACATGCTAACCACTACACTATGGAGCCACCCCCGCTCATAGTCTCTTTTGGGAAGATAATAGCCCCCTCCGTTATATAAAGTTATGATGATTCTACCCGGGTACACATTTTCAAACTTCTCGTAGAGTAACTAGCTCTGCTCTAAGTCACTCTTGTTCTTAATTTGTATTTGTTTTCTCTCTTCCATAGCAAGAAATAGGAGCTTTTTCTTTTTTCATGAAGGAAGGCATAATTTACTTGTTACTTTAACATTCAGCCTCTTCCTTCTCCAAAGCCTGTCTTACGCAGGCGTTAGCACTCACATCAGATAAGACTATTAACTCACAGTGCTAACAAATTACATCTTGCACTTTGCATTCTCAACCTGCCTCCTACCTGTTGTTTCCCTGACCCTCCCAACACCCCACGGGCAGGCACCAACTGCGATGTGGTGAGGTGACCTGGCCCCAAGGCAGCAGAGGCAGCATGGACCCCACCTCTGGGTTTCACTGGGAGTACTGGAAACCACATGAACATGGAGGCAGGTGTGCTGGATGCAAATCTCAGCACTGGGAACTGGTCATCCCAAAGAAATTTTGTGACACATTGCCTACTCATCTCAACAAGAAGTGGGTGCTTATCCACAAGGAGTGGGTGCTGTGCATGTTTGAAGGAAGGGGGCAATGAATGGCCATAATTCAAGAAAAAAAAAATGTCTTCAGTGACTCTGAATCAGCCTCTGAGAGGCCACTTAAAATCCTCCTTGTAGACTAGGTAGCTTTTTTAAAGCATAATTTGTCTTGAGGTTAGGAAGCAAGTAAGCTTTGGGGCACAGTCCCATTTCCGACTAGTGTGGGCAAAGCACCAGGGTCAAAAGAAGAGGAGGTGAAGAAGACAAGTCAGCCGAAACAGCGCATCGGTCAACCAGCCTCCTGAGCCTCTGCTCCACAGGCGCTGTGGTTTCGTGCTTCTGGCCTCTACAATTTGCTCAGAACTCTCTTGTGTATCAAGGCTGATAAACTTAAAGGAGGAACTAAAGACCTTGTGAGAAGAGAAACCATCTGAAGCACTGTGGGGTGGAATGAGATAATTTCTCAGCACTGGGCTCTGTGGTTTGGCCTTCAGAGCCTGGGTCCTAAGCTGCCTGAGGCTCATTTGTCTCACTCCAAGAAGCAGCCCAGGGTGAGCCAAAGGAACGTCCCGTCCCCACTGCTCGCGCCCTCGTTATTAAGGTTTTTAGGGGAAAAATTACAGCCTCTTCTTTGGGAGTTCATATTACAACCTTTGAAGCAGCCGTAACATAAAACCAGAGTGCATGAAACCAGTCCTCCTGATCTTTCAGGGA